AAATTGATCCAAACACGTGTTGTCGTTATTTAATCAACTTGATTTTTTGCATGGATAATGTATTTGACCAGTCTTAAAATATGAATGATTCGGATTATCGAAATGGAGTCCAAAAGTGGACCTACTGAGCCGAACAACACCTCTCTAGTCTGATTATGAACCGGGGAGAAGCCCAACTCATTTAAAAGGAGGAAGGGATTTGGAAGTTGGAAAATGCTAAAAATAGTCTGAAGGCTGTTATTAGTGTTAAAAAAGGTATATAGAAATTGTATTAAAATATATAAAAATATTTTGAGATATGTAAAAAGTGTATTGAGAAATATTTTGACATTCTATACTTTTTATTAGCATCCCTTAGACTTATCATAACCAAGACCCTTGAAAACTAAAAAAATGCTAGAAGCCATAAAAATTCTACCAAAGGTCTCACATGAATGCGGGTCTTTCACTCATGTGGGATCCTATAGAACATATATCCATATGAAATATTTAGTCAAATATTTGGTAGAATTATTGGTATCCCCAACGTAACACTTGAAAATTTGCTTCCATAATTTCTATTCCTCTTGCAATTTTTGCATTTTTGGTAAATTAAAAAATTGATATAACATTTTACTTTTTAAACTAAAAACAAACAAATTTTGATTTTTTTTTTGATTTTTTTTGTTGACAAAAAATTGTCTCTTTTGGTTCATCCCAATAAAGCTAGTAACACTACCTCCAATCTACACTATGAATTTTACATAGCGTTTTAAAAGTAAAAATCAACACTTTAACAAGTTTCAAATAAATATCCCAAGATTTACTTTTGAAAAGCGATTGCGGTCGCCATAATGATTACGGTTATGATTGTAAAGTGTAAAGGCCGTAATATAACAGTTGCAGTAGTCGAAATCGTAATTTTTTTTATATATATTTTTAGCATAATTTGAAAAAAAACTTACCAATATATTTATTGGAGTTTACATTTATTGGAGTTTAAAATATATTTTGATCAATTTTCGTTAATTTTTAGATATGATCTAATATATTTCATATTTTTAAATCACTATAAAATGAATTTTTTACATTTTATTTCAATAGTTAATGATTTTAAAAATAATTGATTTTAAATGTCTATAAATTATTTTTGATAAATACTTAAACTAACTGAATAAAAAATATTCAAAATTATTAAATAAAATGATTATAAAAATAAAAATTATGACTTAAATAAAAATCATTTTTAAGTTATTGATTTAATTTATTTTTAAAGACATTTTTTAGACAACATATTACAGTAACAAAATAAAAAAATATTTATAATTAAATATTAAATAAAATGATTATAAAAATAAATACAATCACTGTTTATATATTTTTTATTTTTACATGTTAATGTAATGAAAAAAAATTTAAAAATAAATTATAAAGAAAAAAATTCTATAAGATTTTATCTTTGCCCTTGAATCACTTGAGTATTTTTTTATTTTATTTTTTTTGTATGCTTTTTGTTTTTTTTTAAAGGAAGCTATTCAGAACATTGTAAAAGTGTGTAACGGACTATTACGGCCATTACGGTACTGCTACGGCTGTTACATAACACCAAAATGAACGTGTGAATTTTCGTCACATCGCTATAGCGGCTGTAACGAGTAGCGGTAACCAGCACAACTGTTATCTAACGACGTTATGTAACGGTTGCGACTGTTTTTTAAAACTTTGTCTACGTGGCATTTGGCCTTTCTTCCTCTGTCAAATTTGGCATATGGGAAAGTGGGGCCACACTTCCCTCCAATCCAAGATATGCACTAGAGAGTGTTGTCTGGGCTCATAAGATTCACCACAAACCTTATTTCAATAGTTTGAACTGTTTATTTTGTAAACCCTTCGTGTATATTATCCACACAAAAATTAAATCGATCTAATAATCGTAACATATTTAATTATTTGCCTCCAAAAAATAGATGACAAGTGTATTTTTGAAATAGACCATCCGTTTTTTTATGACAAACGTGATAAATTGAACATATTACGATTATCGGATCGACCAGATTTTTTTTGTAACTGATATACACGAAGATCCCTATAAAAATTAAGGGGGATTTGGTCATAGCCTCCTCACTATCTAATTTTTTTTTCAAAAGGGCAAGAATTATATAAGTACTTTCAAAACCCCCTGATATTTTAAAACTTGTTTCTTTTACTATATTACCCTCATATCTATCAGCTCTCCTATTAAGACATTTTCACTATGTATTTCAGAGTAAAATTTTACTCTATATGAAAGTAAAATTTTACTCTGAATGAGAGTAAAATTTTACACTCTGAAACTAAAAGTAAAATTTTACTCTGAAAAATAAGTAAACTGTAAGACTCTGAAGCTAAAAGTAAAATTTTACTCTACATCATTCTCTCTACATTTTCACTATGTATTTCAGGGTAAAATTTTACTCTATATGAAAGTAAAATTTTATTCTGAATGAGAGTAAAATTTTACACTCTGAAACTAAAAGTAAAATTTTACTCTGAAAAATAAGTAAATTGTAAGACTCTGAAGCTAAAAGTAAAATTTTACTCTGGTTCTGTCAAATGAAAAAAACAGAGCAATAGAACCAAAGTAAAATTTTACTCTGGTTCTATCAAATGAAATTTGATGTTTACTCTGAAAAATCGATGGAACTTTGAGCTATGAGTTTTGAATCAGGCATATAATCCTTGAATCAATCGATATTTACTTTGAAAAACATTGAATCATGCCTAGAATCCTTGAATCAGGCCTATAATCTAAAAATTTTAGAGAAATATCATTTACTTTGAAAAACATTGAATCATGCCTATAATCCTTGAATCAGGCCTATAATCTAAAAATTTTAAAGAAATCTCAATTTTTCATACTCCGGTTCTTCAGATTTTTCAGATTTTACAGATTTTTCAAATTTTTAAAACTTTAAGCTTTCAAAAATTTATATATTCGAATTCAAATCTCAAAACACACAAACACACACACACATATATATATATATGTATATATCTCGGGAGATTAGAGATCGGAATCGATCATGGTGCATAGATTTGAGTTGAAACCGTATATCGAAAGAGGGAAGAGAAGCTTGCGGAGGCTCTGGAGGATGATGAAGTCATGGAGAGGTAACGGTCGAGGACGGAGTCGATGGAGGGATTGCCGAAGGTGAAGGTATTGCCGGCGTTGGAGAAGGTGATGAAGGCGGCTTCGGTGCCGCACAAGTTGCAGACCTCGCCGGTCTTCTTGAAGAGGCCATCTGTGGAAAGGAAGAGAGTGGGTATAATAGTCATATAAAATATTTAAATAATAAATTTGTCCTTTATGTAAGACTTTATAATTATGAAGGGGTTTAGAAAGTATAATTTTTTTTTTAGTCTTTTTAACAATGAAAGGAAGGTAAAGGGGGTTTATAGCCAAATTTCTCAAAAATTAATTATTAAGATTAAAAAGGACCATGGTAGGCCCTACGTGCCCGGATAGCATCTTACAGTCCAGATCAAAGACTGGAAGCAATCTAGCCATGAGAAAATAAATATCAATTCCTTTCAAAAAATCTAAATGCACAGAATTCCATTACATTCTCCAATAATCAAATTTTGTGTACATAAAAATACTAATTCTTTTTATTATTATTATTATTTGTTTATTCTATGAGACCTACAATAAAGTGCATTATGAGGAAAACTTGACATTTGAATCGAACAAAGTTAAAATAAAATAATAAATTTGACATGTGAAGTAAAATACTTTTTTAAAATTTATATATCAATTTTCTATAATAAAAAAAAGTTATAGACCAAAATTTATATATGTCAATTTGTCAATTTGAGCGTTCAAATAATTTTTTTTTAAAAGTTTTGGATAGAGATACTCAACTTTTTTTTTTTCCACAGCCAAAATCCAATTCTAGGTCAACTATCATTTCAAATCACCAAACAGAGTTGATTGCATTAATCATTACATTGAGACACCTATGAACAGGGTGTTCCCTTGAAAGATTGAACGTTAACTAGTGTGTGGCTCCTTCCGAGTTAACTTGTCATTGCTATTGGATACTCACAGATTCAAATCATCTAAAATATCCTTAATAATTAATTTTTTTGAAAATATTTTGAAAGTGACATTTCATGTGTAACATTAGAATATAATTATTTAAATAAATATAGAATTAATTTTATACCCTCAAACTAATTTAATAATCTCAAACAAATCCCAAGCTATCCTCTCTCTCTCTCTCACTCACGTGGGAATGGTTAAAAATATTATAATTACAAACAAATCAAATTAAATCAAATTATTGATAAACAGTTTAAAATTGACTCATTTACTAAATGAATCAACTTGATCTAGAAATTTAGACCTGTTCAGTAATTTAACTTAACTCGAATAGGCTCATAAACACAATGATAAACAATTAAAATATGTTTTTAATTTATATTATTTCCCTATTTATGTATGATGCTTGTGCGAATTTATATATTTAATTGATAAAAATTATTAATATTTTAGTTATAATTTTTTACTTTTACCCTTTACGTGCATATTACTTAAAAAGTTATTTATTTATTTATTTTATCTAACTCGAACTCGACTCGTTTATGTAATTAAGTTTGTTCAAGCCTAAATCAAGATTTTTAATTTTTTGATGAGCTGAGCTAGAGCTCAATTCTTTAAACTACACTTTAGCTTGAACACCTTAAAGTTTGGCTCAACTCGTTTGTTGTAAAAATTTCCAAATAGTCATGCCTAAAAATTTCCAAATAGTCATGCCGAGAGATGTTTATCACGCACGGATCGTCTCCTCTTACCCTTTTTTACTCTTTTTTTGGGGGGGGAGGGTTGGGGGAATAGGGAAATATTCTACTCAAACATAGAGCCTGATGATCCCAAAAAATACCAGAATGTTACAGCTTGAATAAATGAAACTTTACGACCGCATGATTTACCCTATTCATTTTTTTGATGGAATTTCCAACCAAAATTTCACTAACAAAGCTGAGTCGAATCCAAACATATACTACTTCACATAAATTTTGGCAAAAAAATAATTTACTCACTGTTGGTCCACACAAGAATAATACAGATAACATATGACACATGTTAATATCCATCTGTTTTTAAGTTAAATTTTTTAAATAAACCAACCACACCCAAAAATTTATAAATAATATTAAGAATAAGAGATTTACAGGTCTGGCAGCAGGCACTATACTATCAACAGGCACATCCTCCTGATTGTTGTGACTGAGATGAACTAGGGTTGCTAGACTTGAGATTGACATCAACCATGTCTTCTTGCTTTGTTGAAGAGAGTGTTTCCATTCCTGGTAGGGCTGCAGCAATCTTCCGAAATAATGGCTGGAAAAAGGTATTCATGGTTAGTACAAAACAAGCCTAACAAAATAAAAATTTTAAAAATCTCCAGAACAGAACAGAGAGAAGGTGTTTTCTCTCACTTAAAGTTGAACACTAAGTTTTCCGTTTGTTTCGGTAGAAAACATTTCCCAACAGAAAACTTTTTCAGAAAATGAGAACATTTTCCCATGTTTTGGTTGCATCCTCAAACTAATGTACTAATGGATGTATTAGTGGTGGTGGTGGTGGTGGTGGCAGAGGGGCGGAGGTGGCGGCTTCAAATGCTAGAAAATATGAAATGTTTTCTGCCCAAACAAACAAAGTGTAAATATAACGCATTTTTCTCACTTAAAACATTCCCCTGATTCAAATCTAACAGATAAGGTGATGATTCTACCGAACCTTTCCTTTTAACAACGAACATGTCCAAAATGGTGTCACGTCATGGATCAGAATGCGATTATTTTGCTAGAGGCCCAAGTTTTGTGCCAAAAAATGAAGAAAGAAAAGGAACATGGGAATGTATCTAGGCTTTAAAATTGTCACACACATTAGCATTTTAATAAGCCACTGAATAAGATTTCTGTGAAATCATAATCACATAAGAAATCCTAATTGCTTACCTTTATATTGAAGCCGGCCTTTGCACTGGTTTCAATAAACATAACATTTAGGTCACGAGCTTTAGCTTCTCCTTCCTCTATTGAGACTTGCCTATGAATCAACCACAAGATGCCAAATGTGAGGAAAAAAATTGTCAATTTGTATATATTATATGGATCAACCACCAGAAATCCTAATTATGACCACTTGTATTTTGCTTGAATGCCTAAAAATGAAAACAAACCAACCTAAAGACCATGTTACCATGAACTTATTTCGAAAGAGATTAGTCTGATGCTGAAAATGGATTAAGTTATTAGTCATGCATGTTCCATTCTCAACTGCCTCCATGAAACAATGATAGAACCCTATTGAAGTTGCCTTTTTAAGGCCTGCATAAATGCTAAAATTTCATCTTTTTTCATATTCATGCATCGGCCACATCAATAGAGCTGAACTGCATAGTGAATGTTACTTCTCACTGTGCATCTTGCATAAGTGTAAACTGTAAATTTATTCTATCTACAATATGTCCTAGGTATATATAGATATATAAACCAAATGACTAACTACAGAATGCTACCTGCATTCAGAATAAACTAAAACAAGAACTGTCAATCATTACCTTTTATCCACAAGGTCAGTTTTATTCCTGACAACGACAATTATAACGTCACTGCCTCGTTCAGTGCGAACCTCCTGAATCCATTTTGAAGTGTTCAGGAATGATTGCCTACCTAAACCCCACCAAAAAAGTATCTAATGAAATAACAGAAATGTATCATACAAGATTTCTACAATTAATCAAGTAGAAATTATACAATAACTGCAACAGAGGAATCCCTAATATAGCTTGGAATAAGACTCCTAAACCTTTCTTGACCAACAGTATCCCTTAAAACAAACCAAAACAAAGATAAAGCTTCCAAAGATTATAAATTCTGTGCGGGGAGCAAATATTCAGGCAAGCCCGCACTCCTTTCTTCTAAGCTCTTGTCTGTCCGATCGACCTGCGAGCACAACGGCGGTGAGCTACCAGGCGATGTGTGGCCGGAAAGCCCCTCTGACGATCAAGTTAGACACACACATAGGGATAGAGAGAGAGAGAGAGAGAGAGAGAGAGAGAGAGGACTGAGTTTTGTTTAGTGTTTATCTCACCAAAACGTTATCTGTCTCGTATGGGAGACGTAGACTCGCTTATATACCTTCTGCGCCCCAAACCCACTCCCATTAGTCTCTCGACACGTGGTGCTGCTATCCCATCTGTCAGCACAAATCTTGCTGAACATCACCTAATCCCAACTGCCAGCCCACTCTACTGGGAGCTCGGCAGTTGGGTTGCAGTATCTCGGCTTCCAACGGCCATGCTGCACTTCAAGCCCAAGCGTTCCAATATCCAAGCTCATTGAGGACCGAGCTCGGCTGCATCCCGGCATAGCCGAGCTCGGGACAGCTCATACTAGTTTGCCACCGGCCTTCCTGACGAGCTAAATAATGAACCGTGGAACCTACACGCCTTCAATGGCGCCGGTCATCCCACTTCACTGGCTTTTACACCATGGAGCCACGTAGCTCGGTCCGACCACGCCTTGCCTTAACCGAGCAAAACCTTTCAGGATAGGCCCGTTTCACTACGGCCCAAACTTGTTCGGCCCAAATCTGCCCGGCCATTTCCACGGCCCAAACCAGACCATAAATCTCCCTCTCAATTGCCTCTTAATTCCGTCCGCCAAAGCGTGACTGGGATTACCTGTTATGACTGGGGTAAACACTTCCTCGGTTCTCAGTTTTACAGGAAGTCGACCGAGCTAATTTCTGCGCTCAGTTCTTTGTCTTGCTCGGTCGACGCCTCCTCTGACCTTCCTGTATCTTGACTTGTTCGGTCGACGTCTTGTCTGACCTTTTTGTCTCTTCAGCTCTGATGCTGCCATTAATGGGACACGTGTCGTGCGCTGATTGGCCTCGAGCTGCCAACAGTCACGTCCCTTCAATTCAAATTTTGGGCGGCCTTTCCACCCCTATAAACATGCCCCATTTAATTTCCTTCCATTCTTACTGTCTCACCTCAAACCTTCAACGTTCTAGAGCTCAAGCATCCCTAGCAAGCTTCACCCCTGCCCTTTCTTGCACTCGTGCTCGAAGAAGTAATCCCTGCCCTCAACTGGTAAGTCCTTCAACTCTTCTTATTGTCATTTCGTTTGATATTACTCCTTTTAGGGCACCAAATCCATAGGTTTTAGGCCATAACCTTCCCAAAACGCACATTCGCCCTTATTCTTTTCATTGTTCTTCAATCCCAGTGATGAACACATGAATACACGAAGAATTGGGGCGGACCGGGCTCCAGATCGCCTTTTGATCCCAAAATACAATAAGACTGAGCAATTTACTAGTTTATCAAAACCTTTAGTAGAAACCGGGGTAGGCAGGGAACTTGGCCGCTAGACCGGGCTAACATCTAGCCCGCTTGAGCGACCGAGCTCCTTGGTTCACGTTCACGACCGAGGTGGTTAGCACTCTTCATGACCGAGCTAAAGTCAAGCTCGTTTTGCGCGACCGCGCTCACACTTACACCTGCCATCCTTTTCCTGTAGAGTCCAAGGGGACCACTACCCAAATATTAAGGCTCTCAAAAACCGAGCAGCCATCAAGACACCAGTCTGTGCCAAACCACCTCGGCCGAGCTAATCCAACCGGCTACACATGGGGCGTTTTCATTTCCTTGTTGACACTCCGGCTGCCTTGGCCGTGTTCCGGGAAGACTACGGTATCCTGGCAGACGTTCACCTAGAGCTCGCCGAAATTAAGACAACTCCTTGGGGTAGATTAGACCAGTGCCCCTTCACCGTGCTTTTCATCATTGAAGGAGGCCTCCGCTTCCCGGTCAACCCTCTGCTGACCGAATTCTTGTGCCGTACCGGGCTAGCACCCATACAAGTATCAACCAACACCTACCGAATAATCAACGGCATCCATAAGCTAAATAACCGGCTAGGGACCAACTTAGGTTTAGCCGAGATACTGAGACAGTACACCATTGGGCACACCAGCGATGGCCTCGCCTATTACTTAAAGATTAGGTCGGGCAAAGAAAAAATAGTGACCGGTACCCCAGACAAAGACTTACACGACGACGACTTCTTCTGGGTGTCCGGCAATTATAAAACGGCCGACGTACCGGGCTGGTTCATTAGCAAGAATTTCGGCGAGACATGTAAGTCGTGCTAACTGGCTCGATTAATTGCCTTTGTTCCATATTCTGTATTTTAACATTTTTCTTCTTTCCTTTGTAACGATCCAAGCCTTATAAGCCAACTACCACTACCCCAACGAAGAAGCCATCCGGACCGTGCTCCGCTACCGCCACCGGGATTGTAACGAGCTACTTGGTTACGTCCCAACATATAGATACTCAGCTCCGCGCCGGAGTAAGGTCACTGACTTCCTCCGTGCTCTGTCACCTCCTCCAGACCCTACACTACCGAACGTGCCCCTAATCTGGTTAATCGAAGAAGAAGAGATGGCAAAACGAAGCCGTATCAAGAACCTCTTCACAGCAACTTCCACCAAGATACCGAGCGTCATCACTCGCTCTCCAGCTGCCGGTCAATCTAGCGGGGCCGTGGTTGCGCTAGCGTCTCCTGCTGCCGGGCAAGCCAGGCAAGACAACCGGCGGGCTGGGAAACGGCCTCACGCAGACCCCTCTGTCGAGCTAATTGAAGAGCTGACTACTGAGCAACCGGCCGTCACCGTCAACCTAACACCGGCATGGCGACCGCAGCTCAAACACCGAGGTAAGGAGATCCCGGCAACAGCTTCCGTGAAGGGTGACAAAGAACATCTTCTCGCCTTTGACCTCTCCAAGGCCCTTTTCCTACCGAGCGACGTGGTCGGCAGCGACCATATTCCAATCACCCGGTTGGTGAAGTCGACCGTGAAGTCCATGACCAGGGTAAGAGTCTCAAACTTCTACTCAAATTTTCACAACTGTTTGCACGGTTTCCTCTCTGATCAATCTTTCTTCTTGCAGGCCATCCAGAAGCAACACTTGGTCATGGAGCACATTCATCGACTGCGGCAGAAGGCGAATAACACAGCCAGCCAAGTTCAAACCCTTCAAACCGAGCTCGGCCGAGCAAAGTCTTCACTGCAGATAGCAAACGCAGACAACTCTCGGTTGCTCGGCCAACTTGGTGACGCCGAGAAAGAGAGGGATGCGCTCCAGGCCGAGCTGGATGCACTGAAAAAGTCCAGGGAGAAGGAGCTGGAGGACGCAAATAATGCCGGCTTCAAGGAGACCGAGGACAGCTACAAAAAACAAGTGTTTGCCACCCAAGATATATACTTTAAAGCGGGTTGGAAGTCTGCTTGCGATCAGCTCGGCCAAGGCCTTGGGACCGACGTGTTTGCCTCTCCGCCGGCTGCCTTCCTACCGACCTATCTCGTGCCGTATGCCAATGACGTCTTTAGCGCGTTGCAGGCTGAGGCCGAGGAAGGACTCGAAGGAGAAACCAAGGCAAATGCTGCGGAATAGGACCGCCAAATGGAGGAGCAGGCGGGCCAAACTAAAACCGGTGTCCAAGACCAATCACCAATGATCAACTTGGAGGCAACCGAAGATGAATTCACTAACCTTTCCCCCTTGGCTTAGTTTTCTTTTTCTTACTTTTTGTCTAAGCATGTAACCGGGCTAAGTTCCCCACCTTTTTGTAATTATTTTCACATCAATGAAAAAGCTTTAATTTCATCAAGTGTTTGCACGGTTTTAAAGTCGAGTAACTTCAACCGGACAAAATACTTCAGCAACACTAACCATCTTGCATAACTTAATTAACCGGAAAAGACATCTTGGTTGCAAGAATGTAATTGAATAAATCATCAACTGTTTCAACCGAAACAATACATCTCGGTTTGAATAAATAATCAGCATACTCAACCGGAATAAATCATTTCAGTTAAGAATCTCAGAGTTGAGCAAATCATCAACTCGTTCAACCAGAGTAAATCATCTCGGTTGAGAATCCCAGGGTTGAGCAAATCATCAACTCGTTCAACCAGAGTAAATCATCTCGATTGAGAATCTCAGTTGAGCAAATCATCAACTCGTTCAACCAGAGTAAATCATCTCGGTTGAGAATCTCAGTTGAGCAAATCAGTAACTCGTTCAACTGGAGTAAATCATCTCGGTTGAGAATCTCAGAGTTTGAGCAAATCATCAACTCGTTCAACCGGAATAAATCATCTCGGTTGAGTATCTCAGAGTTGAACAAATCATCAACTCGTTCAACCGGAAGAAATCATCTCGATTGAGTATCTCAGAGTTGAGAAAATCATCAACTCATTCAATTGGAAGAAATTATCTCGGTTGAGTATCTCATAGTTGAGCAAATCATCAACTCGTTCAACCGGAAGAAATCATCTCGGTTGAGTATCTCAGAGTTGAGCAAATCATCAACTCGTTCAACCAGAATAAATCATCTCGGCTGAGTATCTCAGAGTTGAGCAAATCATCAACTCGTTTAACCGGAAGAAATCATCTCGGTTGAGTATCTCAGAGTTAAGCAAATCATCAACTCGTTCAACCGGAGTAAATCATCTCGGTTGAGTATCTCAGAGTTGAGCAAATCATCAACTCGTTCAACCGGAGTAAATCATCTCGGTTGCAATCTCAATTAAAAAGCAACAATCAGAATGCTAAGGCAAAGATGAGACATTTCTATATATTGACAAAAAGAATATTACATTCTGAACTGTAAGGCAAAAAATTCCTTTGCGCGAAAAGAAAACAAAAGCTAGAAAAAATACAGTTTGAGGTTGGCCGCATTCTATGGCCGGGGTATTCCTCTACCATCCAAGTCCTCCAAGTGGTATACCCCCTTGCCCGCCAGACCGGTTTTCTTATAGGGTCCTTCCCAATTTGCCCCTAGTTTGCCTTCACCTGGCACCAGGGTATTGCCCATGACTTTCCTCAAGACCCAATCACCTACTATGAACGGTCTGGGGTGCACCGTTTTGTTATATTTCCTTGAGAGCTCTTGTTGATAGGCGGCCACATGGATGAGAGACTTTTCTCGGCGTTCGTCCACGAGGTCCAATTCCAGGGCGATGGCTTCGGCGTTCAGTTCGGGCTTAAAACTTTCACTTCTGAGGGTGGGTATTCCAACTTCCAAAGGTATGACCGCTTCCATGCCATATTCCAAAGCAAAAGGAGTTTTCCCGGCAGATCGCCGCGGGGTTGTTTGGTATACCCAAAGGATGCTGGGGAGTTCCTCAGCCCATTTTCCCTTTGCCTTCTCTAGCCTTTTCTTCAACCCATCAAGGATGGTCTTGTTTGACGCCTCGGCTTGACCATTAGACTGCGGGTAAGCCGGGGTGGAGTTGTAGAATTCTATCTTCAAGTCTTCATAAAATCCTCTGAAAAGGCGTCCGTCAAATTGGGTGCCGTTGTCAGAGATCAGAATTTTGGGGACGCCAAACCGCGTTACCACATTCTGCCAGACAAACCGCTTGACATCTTTCTCCTTGATTGTTGCCAAAGGCTCTGCTTCAATCTATTTGGTGAAGTAGTCTGTGGCCGCGATGAAGAACTTCCGGTTGCCTGGTGCGGTTGGGAGTGGCCCCACTATATCTAGCCCCCACATCGCAAAGGGCCAAGGGCGGTGAGAGGAAGAAGTTCCCTGGCCGGCTGGTGGATCTGGTGGGCAAACTTCTAGCACTTCTCGTACTTACGAACATATTTCTGCACGTCAGCTTGCATGCACGGCCACCAGTAGCCCTGCGAAATAGCTCGTAGGCCAAAGATCTGCCCCCTATGTGACTGCCACAGATGCCTTCGTGAATTTCGTACAGGAAGGCTTCCACGCTGCTCGGGTGCACACACTTCAGGTAGGGACTGGTGAAAGACTTCTTGTATTGTAACGCCCTCAAAATA